TCAACAGCCACATTAACTTCTTTAAATGAAATGTTTATTTCCAGTCAAATTTGATTGGCAAATAGTATAAAAGATCTCGTACGCTTCTATTTCCCTTATGATTCTGTTAAGATCTATTAATGAGGGGCCTCCCTGGCCGAGCGGTATCGCCGGTCCAAACCCTCTGTTAAGCGTGGAGGTAGCGGGTTCGAATCCCGCCGTAACCCTGGATGTATTCTTTGTGATGTCTTTCTCTGAATTGTTCTATCTGTATTTTCTACTTGACAATGACTTATAAGCCTATATTGAGCACACAAGTCAGCAAATGTATGTAATTTCAATAAAATAATAAAAATCTATTAATGAACATAAATAATTTTGATTAGTAATAATTTTTTTAAAAAGATATCATTTAAAACGATAGTTATATTGCTACAACAAATTTGTTGACAAATATTTTACAATGACATTTGAATTCACATTTTGTCATGATACATGGCGTCTATATATTTGTCACACTCTACAGTAGATTGTATTTCATCCGACAAAAAATAATCTCCACCCCAGTCCAAATAATTCAAAATTTCACATTTTCTTAAAAATATTTTGCAATAACATTTGAATCCATATTTTGTTATGTGTCTAGTATTTGTGGTGTAACTATACCACTATGAATATTAAAATACCAATTCACTAGACACGCTAACTTGATTCGATCTTGAGGTAACTTTTGATAGAAGGTTGATGTAGTCGATAATTAATTCCCCTCATATTATTTGACACATGACGTTTATTGGAATAATAATCGTCGTACAGACAGCGGTTCATTGATCGAGTGACTTATCAGAAATTTATTATCCTGTCATCAAAAATAGGGTGTCGATACATAAACAACGGGTTAACTTATTCACCAAGATATAAGGGACGATCATATGAGAGTATCAAATTGAGTCATCAGTGAGATTATGAGCCAATAGAGTCAGAAAGGCTTGTCTCATATGTAGGGGTGATTGTGAGCCCAACTCAAAAATCCTGAAAGTTTCTTGAGTAAAATCATTAATGACGGAATTCAATAAATTATGTCTTTGTCAGTTTAAATCATTGATTTTTACACAACATGAAATTCTAAATAAATTATATGCAGCATAAATTAAAATTAATAATTTTGTATAAATTTACTTTTATATCTAATCATTATTCCACCAGAAAAATATTTACAAATGAAAGAGATGCCAAGTATAAATTCTAGTTCTAATATTTTTAAATAAAAATACACAAAAATTTTTATACATAAATGTTTTCGGGATCATGAATTTCAGGAAATTTCCGGATCGCGGTTAGCGAAAAATCCCGAAATCACGACTTTTTCCGGAGCACAATCATCTCTGCATATATACCGCGCAGAAAGGATCACGTGATTTTGGTCCCGAAGGAATTAATTGTTGTGGCACTTGATTGTAAAACTCCACATTATGATTTTTGTTAGCATATTAGACAAGACATAAACATTTTTTTAAAAAAAAATGTGAGATTACTAAAATGACAGAAAAGATAGAGAGATGATGACATTGGCAGTGATAAAAATCTTCTTCTAGACCGACATATTCGCACCCTTCCGTACTCCACTCTTCTTTTTTGACGTCATAATAGACACACGTTGGATGTTCCACTTCCACATCACCCTGGAAAGAGAGAGAAAAAATTCACTTTTAACACCTCGAATTGAAAAGAGTAAAGTGATTTAGTCCATCTATCTAAAGAGCTCCCTTCTGAAGCACTGTCGATGACCATGGTTACGATCTATATCAATTAGTGATAAATATTTCGACAGCAATTTTATCAAAATCTCCTCTCCGTGCTCTTTCCATAGCAGACTATCTCAGTTCTTTAGTCGTAACCGTCGTTGAACAGCCAACTCAATTTACAGTTTACGACTGCTAATGTTCAACTCTGTTGCCTTTTAATTTTGAACCAATACGGAAAACAAGGAAACTCCCGGATAACTCTGGAAACTCAGTATCCCCAGAGGTATTGATTTGTTATGGGAATATGGAGGACTTTGTGATCCGACAGATTTAACTTGCATCAGTCACCATTTACACCATTTACTAGTGTTCGGCCGGCGGGGATCAAACACACGACTTCTTGGACATGGGCCCAGTGCCCTACCATCCAGGTTATCCCGGCCCAGAAGTGATAGTTTAGTAAATTTAACATAAAATATTAAAAAGCAATTTTAAAACATTGCTCTTATTATTAACTAGCTGAATAAACTTTCTTCGCATAGGCTGGAAAAATAAGGGCAATAATTAACAACATGAAATCGTATGCAAAATGGCACAAACCATAACATTTACAAAGCTCAGATAAACGCATTTTTTTTGCTTAATTACCATTATTTGTTTCCCTTTTCGGTGACTTTACATTATTAGATAAAGCAAAATACGTTTTTAGAAGTCCAACTTATCAAAATAAAGATTAACACTATTCAGGGCTATTTAGCACAATGCTATTGTTCGCTGCCAATTTAAGACAGTTTTTTTTTAGTATGCCCGTTAAAAATGTGTCAAAAGACCAAAATATGGGATTCCTTTGGATTATTCATAGTCAAAATATTCACAGCCTTCGTACGCAACATTCATCCGATCTAGTACTGTCGCCTTCTCTAACTACGTGACTGGGAAGTCCTTCAGTTTGCAGCTTGTCTACCTATACAAAAACTACATTTCTAATTCCCTAGTATATATGACATGTTAACTCGATTCTATGTTGGGGTACCTTTTCATAGATGAAGGTTTGACATTAATACAGCTCTCACGATCGGCACTCAAAAGTACGGTGATCTTAATACAGCTCTTCCGCCCTTTCACAAACAGCAATGAATCATCTAGTGGTATCCATTCATCGAATTCTATCACAGCTATAATTCTGGTGGGGGAGTACTGTAGTCTGTCTACAACTACAAAAATACAATGCCAATTCACTAGCATATAGGACATGTAAACTTGATTTTATGTTGGGGTACCTTTTCATAGATGAAGGTTGACATTATCTATAACAATTCTCCCCACAAGTTCGTCTCTGCTCTTCTGCAAGAATGATGCCGTTCTAAGGATGTTGCACCAAAGTTGATGCAATTGGAAATAGTCAAAACTTACCACAGTACCAAATTTCAGAACCCAAGATTAAATCGTTCTGGAGCTATAAAAGAAACACACACGAATTCATTCCCTTTGTTTTTATTCCCTACGATTTAAAGGTTTAGCAGAAGAATAAAATTCTTGTTCTTGCAAGAACTCCCCTCGCCACAAAGTTTGAGACCGTCTGCTGCTATGGAAACAAGAATAGCTCATTTCAGGGAGGGTAGATTCTCTTCATATTAGGGCTAACACAAATATACCGAAGAAAAAGAGTCCATTTTCTCCAGCCGATCCGAGCTGAAACCTGTTCTAAGCAATGATCACACACCCCTAATTAAAATAATCTCGTTACCATAGTCACCGCCACGGGTCCAGATGAATGGCTAGGATAGTTCTTACTTTAGACAAACTATAAAAATGGGAACGTACTTAAAAATGGTAAGTTTGCGCTGCTTCTAAATAACATTTACACGCCCGTTTGACATCTAAGACTTACATGTAAAAGGGACAGTTAATTTAAATTTTAAATCATCTTTCTAATATACAGGGGTAATTGTGAGCCCAACTCAAAAGTTCTGAAAATTTCTTGAGTAAAATTATCAATGACGCATTTCACAAAATTAAAGTCTTTATGAATTTAAATCATTGATATTTTCAAAACATGAAACTCTAACTAAATTATATGCAGCATAATTTACATTTATAATTATATATAAGTTTAATTTTATTTCTAATCACACTTATTATTCTGCCAGAAAAAGTATTTACAATTGAAAGAGATGCCAAGTATAAATTCCAGTTCTAATATTTTTAATTAAAATATTCAAGCCTTTTTTTTAAAAACATAAATGTGAGCGATGATTTCTTGAAACTTCTGGACCTTGGATTTCCGAAAAGTCCCGGATTGAGGTTAGAGAAAAATCCGGAAAACCGGATTTTTTTTTCCCGAGCACAATCATCTCTGATTATAAAGAGGCACGCTATATCACATTAAATAGCTTTTTTGATATTTAATCAGTCTTTTTCGTTGAGAAATATCACTTTGTATTCATTTATTGAAGCAATTCCATTGGATTGGTTAACATGACATATAATGAATAATATATTTAGATAAAAAGGATTTTCTTTTTAAGTAGTTTCTTACCGTTCGAAAGTAAAGGTGTATGGGTGAAGAGAGGTTCCAAGCGCGTCCGCCAGAAAGTGACGCAAGAAGTACCGGAGAAGATAGAATTTTGTAATTTCTTTTCAGAAGAACTCCTTTCGGATTGGGAAACAGAATCCATTCTTTAAAGAAGACCATCTCAAGGTGGCAAGGAAAAGGCAAGTCTCTCTCCCTCTCCGACACTAAATCCTCAGGCAGGAAAAAGGCCGCCTCGCCCTTTATCTGCGTGCGATTCGTTAAGTATTCCACACTATCGTCCGAAATAATGGAGGCCCCAATCACGTGATCTTTCTCCGTGGACTTGACATAAGCTAGAATGTTCTTTTTCGATATCAAAACTAATTCTCTTCTCTCCGACCTCAGAACAGAATCGATGATCTTCAGAATTCTGGAACAATACAATATATTCTTACAGTTTAGTAACAGAGTAACATTTGGAGTTCATTTGGTAATCATCCACATTAACAGAGTATCTTAATACGCATCTAGATGCGTATTTCACTTCTCAAAAATTTTCTCCGGAGTGAAAATAATACTTGTAAATTTTTTCTCAAGATATTCAAATCGGATATTTTTCATTAGTTGCCAAACACGATTCACAACAAAATTATGGCAGGATAATTATTAAAAAGCACACGAACAAACATAAATTTTAATTTTTACGAGAAGGGAGGAAAAAGAAAGATAGCTTGGATTTACGATAAAATTGACACAAAGAAAACACGTCAAAAATTATTATTATTTGCACGATTCGTATTAAACAGATCGGGATTTTGAAATACACTTGGAAATCTGATCGAAACGATCGAAAAGTAAGTTGGATTAACTATGAAATAGACAATTTGAGATTAAAATTCGAAACTAAAGCATCATAATTTCGTATTATTAAAAATATTAAGATTTAAAAAATTATGGAAATTTGTAGGTAGGTCGGTACTTTATTTACGTCGCAATAGAGCTGCATAATGGGCTATTGGCGACTGTGTAGGAAACATCCCTGTGGATGATCCGAAGACATGCCATTGTAATTTTGATCCTCTGCAGAGGGGATGGCTGCCCTGCTTTGGTAGACCGACGACTTGCGCGTGAAGTCGAGCACTTTACACTAGAGCAGATTAACGAAGACTGATACCACCCACCCTCGGCCCCTACGCAGGGTGATCAAAGCGGTCACACATCCGTTTACTGACCGCAGCCAGTGATACTTGACTATTATGTAAAGAGACATCCTGTAAAATTATACACAATAGACATCCTGTAAAACTATAGAAAAAAATAAATAATTCAATGGAAAAAAATGATTTTTATTTAATTTTTGGAAACTTTAAACTTAGTCTAATTTATCAGTTGGTAGTGTAAAAAAAATTATGTGGAGCAATATTCTAGGGTAAATGTGTAATTTTGCGGGATTACCTTACTTACCATGTCAGTAAAAAAAAAGAAAAACTTTGTCATAAAATGGGGCTTATTACAACTCTAATCTCTGTCTTAAAGCGGACTTGTAGATTTTGGTATCACTGCCTACAATAAGCATCTGCTTGAAAGATATGCAGCGACATTTTTGAAATCCATCAAAGAGCAATCATGACTAATGTAATGCTAATAAGAAGTCTGCACTCTCTCGTTCGCTAGGAAACACGACAGTTGATTGGTTGTGAAAAAATACAAGTAATGTTGCATTACTTACACATTACTTAGGTCTATATTTAAAAGCAAAAATCCTTTTTGTAAACAACTTACTAAAGTTTTCACACGTTTTAAATCAGATTTTGTAAAACAATTTTCTAAAATATAAATTAAAAATTGTATACTAGGCCTTAAAAATGTTTTTCTCAGAAGAAAAGAGAGGCACATTATTAAAAAATTGAGCTTTCATCTTGTTTAAAAATATATTTAACAACAATTAATTACCTGGTAGTAAAACGAATCGTGTTTTTTGCTGATATTAGTTCAGTTTTTTGAGTATTAGCCAACATGCTATCGATGATCGAGAAAATTGTCGAAATAGTCTCCTACAATAAAAAGAACAAAAATTAATGGGCGCCCTTTATATTTATTTTTAGCACACTTATTAAATAACAAATTACTATTTTAATGACAAAGATAATCCCTGTAGAAGTCAGTAAGAGCAAGGAAGTTATTAAAATCATCCATAACCATTAGTTAACATAAGAATACGCATACTGCAAAAGGAAATTTGGAACTTTTCCGTCAGCCGGGAGAAAATGTCTCCAATTGTGAACCAACCGTGAGCCAAGTCGCCAAGCGAATCGAATGACAAGACATATACAGAATAAAAGTTGTAAACATTCAACTGTTATAAACAAATATATTTATTAATGGTAAGCAAAACAAGATCAACTATAAACAAAAATTAATGATTTGTAAACAAAACAGCAAATTTTTGAAAATAAAAATAATGCATTTATTAAAACAAAAATTAAGATGGAAGAAAGAAAGGAAAACGTGCTTCCTTTTGAATAAATTCAGAGAATATTGCACTTGAGCAAACTATCATTCCCCTTATGGTTGTAAGAAATTTGGCAGAATTTGGCACAAAGAAGAAATTCTCTTCCGATAATTAGTTTGCATTTTAATAATTTGAAGTATTTTGTTCAGCAATTGAAACTTCATGGTTTGTCTGAACTTACTTTGTCTTTCCTTTAAATTAGTAATAAAGGAAAAAGAGAATTTGCTACGAATATTTTCTTCCGCGGAATAGCCTCCTCTTAAGTTTGAAACTCAAATAAAATAGTTACTAAACTCTTTCATTGCATTTGTCTATCAATTAAAAGTTTCCCATCAGCTCCCAGAATAGTTTCCCAAAATCTTATATATATTGTTTTAACTATACTTTATTTTGATATTAAAGAGCTAGTTATTCAGCTGCCCTTGCACTTTTAAAAATATCTGCTGATATTTAGATTTCACTTTCTTAACATAAATGAAGAAGGAACTTACTTGTGACTGAAGAACTTTATTCGATAATCTTGTGAGAATGCCAGTTAAAATATGCAGGTCTGTGACGCTCAGGTGAGCACCTTCTAATACTTTTTCAATGTCTTCCGTTGTCTGTGTTGCACTCTAAAAAATAACAAATTTTTTTCTTCATTATTCAATTACAATAGATCATCACATAGAATTTTAAACTAAACATTTTTTTCCACATTTTAATAGAGTCACCTTCATTTGGATCAACGTTACAAAGTTATATATATATATATATATATATAAATATATATAGCATAATAAATAAAAACAAAAAAAGATGAAGAAAATTAAGAAAANTATACAGCGTGAAAGACCAGCTTAGACTGCTCATACACTGCAGAGTTTCTAACATTTTTAAAAAATTCTGAAACGATATTCTTAACTTTGTTGAATATTTTTACAGTTATAGTAAGAAAATGTAAGGCAAACAAATAAGTTTTCTTTTTCTAAAAATGATTATGCTTCCATGAATATTTAAGCTAGGTTTACGAAATTGGTCTCTTTGTATGTCAGTTTTACACAGGAATCTATTTTTTTTCCAGTTTTTTCTTTTTTCAATTTTTCTCCGAAAATAAAGTTTTAAAAAATTTTTCTAACCGTGAATATAATTGAGATAGATCAGATGTAACAAAAAAATTGCTTTTTGACAAAAATTTTATGCATGTTACATTATTTAGGGGGATGTTTCCATCAGCACTAGGAAGATGGACTCTCCTGAAAATAAGCAAGCAAGTAAAGACGTTTTTATTGAAAATAAATATTCTTCTCTAATATCTTCAATATAATATTTGGCTTAATTGGGAAAAGTATATTGAAATCACTACTAAGGGCTCTAAAAATGTCAGAACAATTTTTATTACCTAATTGCATTTCACCTTGAAAAATAACCTCTGATCACAAAACAGGTTTTATTCCCTCTAAAGTGATCACCGACATAAGTATTCATTAAGTGCAACTCCTTATTTTTTCACTTCATTTTCGACAAGGATCCCAAAATATATGTTCTGAGATTGGTCATTATGAAATTCACAACATTGTAGTGACACAAAAATAGATTCTGGAAAAAGCACATTCCATGTTCTTCCATGCATATTTTAAAGTCCTTGATTTTTAAAATCATTTGAGTCAGAAAAGCAAAGAAGGGATTAGAACATTATTATCAGGGTGCGTAACCAAATCTCTCTACAAAAAATAAGTTAAAATACTTTTTAATCACTCAAAAAATATTTTCAAGTACTATATTCGTTAACAAAATAATTTTCCAAGACTTTACATGATCATGATAAAATAACTAGTCTCTGACAAAGAACTCTTTTTTTTTTTGATTATGTTATCCACCGTAAAAAAAGATCGAGAGATTTTTCGGTTCGATTTCAGAGTGTGGAAAATGAAGTCTGACATTCAGAATATCTTGAGCAGAGTTGCACATGAGAGTGCAATAATCTCACTGAACCCTACTCAGTAGACGCACATGCGGACTCATTAGCGCTATCATATGGTTTGCGCTATCATACTTTTCGAACTGACTGTACGCCGAGATGGATTGTTGGTTGAATGAACTGTGAAAACTTAGAATAGAACAATGCGAAAACCCCGCTAATGCATAGTAAAAAAAAATTAAAAAAATTAATATTCTTCACCCGACTCATGTCATATTTACATTATTATCGATTATACCGACATCTGTGCTAACAATTTAGGGTGACAAGGACAATATAACACATTTTTTAAATATGTTAAATCAAAATTTTTTCGCATATGTATATGTTTTTAGAAAGTTTGACACCTGTCCAATAACTTGATATCAATATCAAAGTTCTCTAGTGAACCGAAAAAATATGAAAATTCATTAAAGTGTCCTCCAAATTACCACCTCAAATGCAGTACATATCAATAATTAGAAAGCAGAGGAGAGAAATACCTATAACCGAAATAGCTAATGGTTCACATAAAGTGTAGTCCAAAATGATGTTCTTAACCTGACTCACGTCATATTTGCATGATTATCGATTATAGCGACATATGTGCAAACAATCTAGGGTGACATGGATGATAATACATTAGCAAGCTACCTTTTTAAATAAACTGGTATAAAAGAATTTCAATACTTCCATTCTGGATTCTAACGATGACTAGTCATAGATTGGAAGTTTTTCAAGTTTGCACCGTTTCCCACTCACCTCTCTTTCCTCCTCTTCGTTACAATAGTTTCGACAAATTTTACTCTTTCCACATGGCAATACGTTTCCGTTAGAATATAGAATATACTTGCGTGGTAACCATGGTAACGGAAAGGGGGATACGGGGAAACTACGTAACCTTGAAATGCCTATCCTATTGATTGAGAATCCTAATGGGCATAATTTTTCTTCTTAATGTGTTATGAGAGTAATAAGAATATTTATTAAAGAAGGTCATTACAGAACACCTAGCGTAAATGTATGAAAGCTACGTGTTAAAAAATGACAACTTTTACTTCCTTCCCGGACTCCAGCTTGCTCTCATTGTCTTAAAAATTTTCAAATTCCATATTTTGTTTATAAAAATTAAAACTCACGTCTCGTATCTGCATAAGTTGAGAGGTGAGATTGCTGGGTTCCACATCACATTTTCCGGATTCCATTCCCCATCTTGCACCAGAGTAAAATGAACCAATGCACAACCGAGTGACAGCAAGGCCATCTATTGGGTCAAAACAGTATTAAACATTTCACATTAAAAACTAAATGCGTTATTATGCGTAATCACTGTTATTCTTCTCCATCAAATAAGTGTCCTCAGGCTAAGCTTACAATCTTTTCAGTAATTGTAAGCTTGAGCAATTTAAAAATATTGCTACCAATAATTTATCATTGATAAATGAGGACGCCATACCGCGGTAGACATTTTACGTCACAAATTCTCTTTTTCCTCCATAACTAATTTAAAATTATAAGTATAGAAAAAGTGAGTTCAGTCAAACTTAGAGTAAGCCATGAAATTTCAAATACCGAAAAGAAAATTTCAAAGTATCAAAATGAAACTAAATTATGAGAAGATAACTTAGGATTTCGAAATGGAGAAGTTTTCTTCCAATAATTTGTTTGCCCTTTGATATTTCAATATTTTTTTCCAACAATTGAAACTACATAGCTAAACTCTTGGTTAGTCTGAACTCACTTTTTCTTTCTTTTAAAATTTAAAATAGTATAATGAGGGTGCAGAAGAATTTGCGACAAAAAGTTTCTCTCTTCGTATGGCGTCCTCTTAAGTACTAACACTAATTTAATTCACATAAATTTGAATACATTTAATTTAGCTTGAATTGCAAACTAGCGATATCAGAAATCAGATAAAACGAAACACGTTTTATCTTTGTTCATTTTTAAAACATTCAGTTTTCTCTAAACGGATCGACAAAACAATATGGATTGCAGGCTCCCCCCCCCTCCACAGAGATCCACAGATCTCAAATAACAGTAAAAGTTTACAGCTCTTTATTCAGATTTCAACCAATCTAGTCTTTTTTAATACATTATAAAAATATCAGTGAAAAAATAAGAGATTTACATTTTTAAAATCACATACAGAAGGATGAACTTTTTTTATATTTCCGATATGAATAAACCTATAACAAGCCCGATGAAGATAATATACTGAGATCTCGAAAATTAAAGCAGAAGTACATGATTTTAATAGGTGGAAAACAAGATTTTTGGGATGAGATTCAAGGGTCACAGGTTCGAGTATTAAATTAATTTGTGTGTCCAAGATGAGGAGCAAGGAAACTAAGAACGAAATATTTAAAGTTATAGATAAGATAAAAAAATATATCCTACAAAAACTAAACTAAAATAATCAACTGGAAATACATTTAGGCACCCAATTATGTTTTCAAAGTGATCCAACCAAACCTTCAAGCTGAAGTGGCTTTACCATAGCATAAAATATTTTATGTAAAAAGCAAATTGCTGGAAACGGATGTTGTTGTTGTTCATTTACGTCGCACTAGAGCTGCACAATGGGCTATTGGCGACGGTCTGGGAAAATATCCCCGGGGATGATCCGAAGACGTGCCATCACAATTTCGATCATCGGCAGAGAGGATGGCTCCCCTACTTTAGTTGCTCAGTGACTTGTGACTAACACTTTAAGGTAGATCAGACAAAAGAAGATCGAAACCCAAAAGGTCTTCTTTTGTCTGTTTCGTTAGACGGGTTCCTTTCGCAAGCTGATCAACCCGTCTACCAGCAGCTTGATCTTGGTGATCTACTGGGAACCGTGTCTTACGATCAGTACGACTTTGAAACCAAACTGAGTCAGGACAGGAATTACAGGCACGTGATGATTGGCTCGTTGCAGCTCATGGTAATTTCCCGTTTATCGCCGCATGATGGGATTTCAGAAATGGTGTAAAGTTTTTATTCAGGTCTGTGGCAGCAGAGGACTTTAATCATCATGTAAATGGGATGTCAGAAGACTGTCAGAATGATAATGACAACTTACTTTTAGATGAGCAGCTTTCTTCGGGGATGGCAATCTCTCCCCTATAGGCATAAGGCCACGAAATGTTTTTCGGAGTATCGACCATTACTTCCGAATAGCAGCCAACTGTAAAAGTGACAAAAATCTACATTCATTTTCATTAATTTTGGAACAGTTTCATATAGTTATTTTAGTTAGCATTATTAGGAACTGTTTAGAGAAGGAATTTCACAAGATCACTACATAAATGATATCACAATGATTTAAGCATGCTCATTGTGGAAACTATTGAATAAGAACGAATTTAGATTTTTTCCCTTATCAAATGCGTTAAAGTACACTCATGTCCATAAATTAAGGATAATTCAGAATCACACGGAAATCAAACTCTAAAATTAAAATTTCACCTGTATGCAAATTACAGGAAACCACTAGATGACGCTGGTAGTATGTCACAATGACGAGAGTGTAAGAGAGGGGTAAATAAGGAATGGTGGCAAAGAAGTAAAATTGTTCACAAGCGCTTTAAAAGCCTTTCAGTGCAATAACCGCATAGTTATGGCACAAAGGAAGCATTTGGATGATTTTTTACGTGGCAGAATCATCGGACGACTGGAATGTGGACGTACCCAGCTGGAAGTATCCGAGGAACTTGGAATCACCCAGAGTGTCATCTCCAGGCTTTGGCAACGATTCCAAGATGATGGTAATGTGAGTAGACGTTACAGCACAGGTCGCCCCCGAGTTACAACGCTGAATGAAGACCGGTATTTGGCAGTTACTGCCAAAAGAAACAGACGGAGCACAGCATCAGACCTGTCTCGTCAGCTCTCTTCAGCTACCGGTACGACAGTTTCAAGGCAGACCGTGTACAGACGCTTAGGGCACATTGGTCTATATGCTCGTAGGCCTGTCAGATGTGTTCCACTTACCGCAACTCACTGTCGCCTGCGATTAGCCTGGAGTAGAGAGCATGCATTGTGGACACCGCAACAGTGGTCTTGTGTGATGTTTTCCGACGAGTCCAGGTTTAGTTTGCAGTCTGATTCTCGCCGGACTTTCATATGGAGAGCGCCAGGTACCCGTTACCACCAAGACAACACCATTGAACGACACCGTTACGGTGGTGCAGGATGGCTCGTTTGGGGAGGAATTATTCTTGGTTCCAGAACTGACCTGCATGTTCAGAGTGTAACGATGACAGGCCACATCTATAGGGATGTCATTCTGGAACAACATGTACGTTTGTTTCGGGGCGCCATGGGTGCTGAATTTCTGTTTATGGACGACAACGCCCGTCCTCACCGTGCAAACATTGTAGACGAATGCCTTCAATCGGAGGATATCACCCGTATGGATTGGCCAGCATACTCACCGGACTTGAATCCAATAGAGCATGTGTGGGATATGCTTGGCCGACGAATTGCAGCCCGTCAACCCCCTCCCACCTGTCTACCGGACTTTCGGAGGGCATTGCTTGATGAGTGGTGTAATATTCCCCAAGATCAGATTGATAATTTGATACTCAGCATGCCTAGGCGTTGTACGGCCTGTATTGCATCGTCCGGGAGACATACTCCGTATTAACCATCATACTAACCATGTTATACTGTTTTTTGTAAATAGGTTCTTTTTTGAAATTTGCTCCAGGGAGTAAAAATCGCAATTTTTATTAATTATGTCAAACATATAGCATCTTTTTTGCTCTTTACCTTTTGTTTAATACATAGACTTTACAAATAAGTCAAATTTGTTTGGCTTCTGTCTCTTTCTGTGCCTGAACTTCATTATCCTTAATTTATGGACATGAGTGTATTTATTGGTATATAATGTTATTTAGGTGCTTTCAAAAATCGAGAAAATAGATAAAAGCAGAATTTTTTATTATTAACATATGCCCTACAAAAATTTGATTTTACAAAGCAGCGTTTTAATAAAAGGATGGGTTTCAGCATGTTTTGATTTTGCAATGTTTTTAAAAAGCGGCTGGCTTTATAATTCAAGAATTTAATTAGTGGCCGTTGATATTGAATGAAATAGAACTAACGTGTGCTCCTCAGAACAATATCTTCTATCTTTCGATTCTCCATCCACTCCTCGTTACTGCTGCTGATGTTATCCAGGATATGATCTAGTTCCTCCTCATCTTCCATCAACTCCTCCTGATCTCGCTTCCTCGGATTCAACACTTGGCGGGAATAGACAAAGAAACTTACTTCGACTCCTTTCCTATTTCGAAACAAAGAGAGTTAGCATTGTCGTCACCATTCTTAACACAGTAAACTGATATCTGCTATAAGTCAAGTGTAAGGTGTTACTAGCCTTCCTCTATTATGATAAAATTTATTTATTTTGAAGGAAAAAACATTTATCTGCTGTATAAGTCTGCAAGAATATAACCTCATTTCCTTTTTATAAATTTAACCGTTTATTCTCATAATGTAATATATCGGCGATCACCGCCTAAAATATTTTCTTCTTAATAATATATATATATCAAATTTAAAAAAAATTTATACATCTCAAGAACTATTCAACAGAATTCGTTAAAAATTTTTAATGGATTCCGAGTGAAAATGTGTAAATACTAAGAAATTTTAAATACAGAATGCAGTATTTCTATAGAATAACTAATGGTCAGAGAATGAAATGGTTAAGACATAAGAGGTGATTTGAACGGTGACATTGGAGTGTAAAATAGTTCAAATTTTGAAAAGGGAGGGGAGGAATTATTGAAAAAGATTTACTTACGGTCTGATTTTAATATCTCTAACGTAGGTATTGGGTTTAGGTAAAAACCCAAAAAGAATGTTCTCCATTTCTAGTTCGTAATCTTGTTTTAATTTTTCTGAATTTTCTCCTCCTTTGAAGACTTGAGAGGAAAGAATTTTGCCCGTGTAAGTATTCACTGTTCTGCTCTCCGTGGTATTCACTTCTGAAAAATCAAATGTATCATTTTTCTCAGATTAGAGCTCTTACAGTTATAGGGCAAAATTAGGATATTTCTTAACCAGCCACTGTTAAAAACATGTGGTTGCTTTTTCAAAAATTTAAAAATATGAACTATTATTAAAAATAGAACGATATTACTCGCGATCGCAATGGCCTACACGTGGCGTAGAGCAGAACTCTCTACCTATGGCGACACTTCGCATGTTTTCACCATTAGCGTGTGGAGAGTCATAGAAGAAGGAAGTACGTCAGTTTCTGTTTCGATTTTCACATAGATTAAAATCTTTTAAATTATGGGAAACTATATGGGACTGAAAACTACATTAAATTTAGTTCTAAAAGAAATCATCATGAATGTTTAAAAAATATTTTTGTTAATTAAAACCGAAAAATATTAAGAAAAGGAAAAATATCGTAGTACATGCCTATACAACTGAAAAGAGGAAGAGAGGGAAGGGAGAAGGACCAAAGGCATGGAACCGGTCTTCTCCCCAGATGGCGATTTCGAGCGTTGTGATCGCCTATTAAGGTAAAGAATTTTTTAAGCATTTTTTTAAATTGGTAAAAGCTACAGGGTTCATTTCTAAAATGTAAGAAAAATTTCCTGATCTCTCCAAATAGGTTTACGTAAATGTTAGCATTGTATATTGGCGATCGAACTCTCTACCTATGGCAACACTTCGCTTGCTTTTACCATTAGAGTGTGGACAATCATCGGAAAAGGAAATACTCGTACATTAGTGACGTCTTGACTTTCAAACAGATTAAGTTAAGAAATTATATGGAACTCAAAATTGCATTAAACATAGTTTTTACAGAAAGCGTTGTGGAAATATGAAAAGACATTGAAAATGAACTTACTTTTGATGGTGAAAAGGTATTTATGGACAATGGATGGAACGTCTGTTTCGCACCAGAAGTACCCTTGTAATGTAAGGGGATTTATACCCTCTGAGGAAGAAGAGAGGGAATACATGTGATTGGAAAGAGAGGAGGCCGATCCGTTCCTCAGGAGGATATAGTCTTTGAACCAAAGGACACGGCTGTAGTTCTTGTGATTGGCATGACAGGTGAATACGGGCAGAGCAACCTGCATGCCCTGTGAGGAGACTATATTATGGGATGACACGGTCACTTCTGTGGCCCTCACTAAAAATGAACACCAGTCATTTATTAAAAGAAAAAATAATAAACTTCAATTTTTTTTTATGAACAGTTGGATGTTTTTTTTTTTAAAGGCATAATAATAATAAGAGCTAATAATATTTCTGAAATGGAGCATGAAAGGAAATAGCCTTGAACGCGTACGCCGAATTCACTATAATTTTAATGTTCATCATGGATTAATTGAGGCATAAAGAGAAAAATCCTGAAAATTTTATGTGTAAAAAATCGATATCAAGATATTAATTTATAAATCATACATGTTTCAGATTTAAAATTTCTTGAAATAAGATTTATAATAATTAAATTAATGAATTAAAAAATTTAGATTTCTTAAATTAAAATTTAAGAAAAATCTTAGTTCGTACAAGAATTGCGATATTAGATTTCATAATCACGTGACTAGGAATCGTGATATTGGATTTTAAAGTCACGCGAATAGAAATCGCGATATTGGATTTTAAAATCCCAAAGAATAGAATTCGCGATATTGGATTTTAAAATAATAGGATATCACATATAAATACGGTAATCGATGTTTGATATCTCAAACGCGTGAATACAAGTTGCAATATTGGGTTTTAAAAACGCGTGAATAAGAATTGTGACATCGGATTTTAGATTCGTGTCAATACGAATCGTGTTCTATACTGGAGGCGTCACTACTTCCAAAAAATGAATCAAGGGAAGGTATTACTTACCTTGCTGTGTTGTTCTGAATGATTAGAAGCAGTAAGACCAACCTTACTCTTTTGTTTGGCATACAATATATTTAACAATAAATATCTAAGTACGAATGAAGACCAAGCTAATTAACATTTTAGTGTAATTTAATAAGCATAACGATAAAAGATGAACAACAAAAGTAGATGAGTAACGAAAAAGAGAAAAGCTCCAAGCGCTTGTATCAAGTGACCGTTCACATTCAAACTGTTCATAAAAGTTATTGAGTCTTATTCGTATTCGCTAGGGGGCTCTCACATCTTTCTTTGTTGTTGTTGTTGTTAATTTACCTCGCACTAGAGCTGCACAATGGGCTATTGGCGACGGTGTGGGAAACATCCCGGAGGATGATCCGAAGACATGCCATCAAAATTTTGATCCTCTGCGGAGGGGATGGCACCCCCGCTTCGGTAGCCCGACGACCTGCGCGCGAAGTCGAGCACTTTACGGTAGCACAGTTTAACGAGGACCAATACCGCACACCCTCGGTCCCTACGCAGACTGATCCAAGTGGTCACCCACCCGCACACTGACCGTAGCCAGTGATGCTTGACTTCGGTGATCTGCTGGGAACCGTGTCTTAACGATCAGTCCACTGCGGGACTTGACATTTTTCGATGAGGTTGCAACAAATCGCGTTACAGGATTTTGAAGATTCGTTAATACGAATCGCGATATTGGATTTTAAAAACGCGTGGATACCAATCGCGATATTGGATTTTTAAATCGCATGAATACAAATCGCAACGTGTAAATTAGGTAAATACAGAAAATAATGCTTGGTATTTAAATCACGTCAATAAGCTGATTCCGGCGCAGTTTCAAATATTCAAAAAGGCGAAAATCTTCCAAGATCATATGTATATAAACATCTCGTTAGCGGGATTAGCGAAAGTTTCAAAATTAAAATTTTGGATTTGTAGAATTCCGTAAAAACTTCATCGGATTAAAAATTTTTGATTAGCGAAAGTCCTAGAACCAATGGTCTTGTGAAACGCGGAATTCCACGATATTCCCAAAAAATTCATATGCATTGCTCTTAATTTTTCGACGACGTGGAAGGGTGATACGGAAAACCCGGAATTCCGGGATATACCAATATTATAATCCCCCTGGTTTAAACCACAACCAAACTTTTCATTACTGTTTAAAACTAATTTGCAAGAGTTTCAAAGTGCCCCCCTTCGGTTTTCATGATGAAGTCAACTGATATTTTGTTACAAGAAGTTATTTACGGGTGAGTTCCTACCAACAGGCCTGACCTTTAAAAGTCGTACCTTAAAAGGAGTTGAGGGTTATTAATGGTCATTTTTATCACCCCTTAAATGAAAGAGGTTTGCCTTTTGATCAACATATGACCCTGTTGAGGTGTGAAAAGGAGCAGACAATAAAGGGGTGGAAGAATTTTCCTTCCTTTTGGACGTTTTATAAGGTTTTGCAGACACCGTTGTTTCAAAGTAACGAAAAATTCGTTTTATTCGAATTCAGTGAACAAGATGGTCATTTTTGTGTCAATAAATGCCTTCAGTCTTGGAGCAACTTTATGGATAACGTATAGTTTGTCTACGGTAAAAACGCCCCCCGCCACAAAATCTGCGGCCGTTTGCTGCTATCGAAACAAGAATGGCGCATTTTAGGAAGGGTAGCTTCTCTTTACTCTAAAGCTAACACAATAGACCGATAAAAAAGATTCCCTTTCTCTCGCCGACTCGAGTCAAAACCTGCCCCAAACAGTGACCCCACACTCCCACTGGAAATAGTTATACCTCGTTACCATAGTCACCCACCGCCACGGGTCCAGACGAATGGCTAGGGGAGTTCTTACTTTATACAAACTGTAAAACAACCTTTCACAATTGCGATTAAATAGTCAATACCTCAGAGTTTTTTCAAACTTTGGTGGCAAAGAAAAATATTTCATTGTAAATTTTGCTTAAAAGTTATTCTTTATCACCCTTGTGTTTGTGGTATCTGCAAAAAATAGCACTGAATGACTATTGATAAATGATAGGATTTTGGATAGGATAAATGATAGGATAAATGATAACATGCAATCCTAACATTTCGAGATGTAGACCTTAAATATGCTTATTAATTACAGCAGATGATAGCTTAAATTACGAAATCAGACACAATTTGTTTTTGTAGTAACGTAGCTAGTTCTACTACTAATTATCAAATTTTGGGTATTTTGAAAATAAATACTATCATTTATTTAAATCCAAGTTCTTTTTGTTATTCTCTCGCTTTTTAAAAAAAAATTTGTGCACAAAGTGCTCAAGTTAAAACCAATATCACTCTTAATCACTTTTGGTCTTATGATCGAATTTTTACGAAACTGGTAACGATTAATATTAGTTCACCGAATCAGCACGGAACATACTATCTCTGAATAAACATACTTTTTTTCTACTGATTTGATTTTTTGATTACCGAAATATGGGCATATCCGGAAGATATGATTCCTACAGTTTAGTCAGGAAAGCAGTCGAAAATTTTATTTCCCTTTTTACTGCCCTACCTTGCGAAAAATTTAATGAAATTTGTCGAATTTGTAAGATATACAAATTTTTGTATCATTTAAAGCTATGTAATTTTAAGTGACAAAATACGAAATTTGAAAGAAAATGATAGAAGTTTTCTGGAAAATAAAGTTTTAAAAATATGGCTCAGGTGTTATTTTACCGATTTCGCTCAAATTTTGAATTTTTCATTTACAATTGCATAGCTTGTAATCATTGAATTATTTGTATATGTTACGATGAAACCTTTTTCGGACCTTTATTAAATAAAATAATAAAAAAAAACTATAAAATACTATTTTTACAATAAATTATTTTTTAATTAACGAATTTTATAATTATGTGCAAAAATGTTTTGATTCGCTTTAAAACTTTCCCACATATAGCGAAAAAAGCATTAAATGAATATAACATTAAAGGGTCCTAACTTTCGACTGCCCCTGCCAAAATTAACGGGACCAAATTTTCCACATTGCGGCTGCTTCCCGTATTTTAATGCTATTTATTCTGCAAAAGAACGTTTTTGTGATCTTTTCTGTAACTCAGTGTTTCCCAAACTTATGACTTTTGTGTACCCTTTCTAAATTTTTCGCAACGCTGTGTAGGGTAAACCAACCAGTGAAGGAACATTTCATATATATTGATTAAAAATAAGAATTTGAAAGTTTTTAATTAGATTGATTGGTAACAATAGCTTACTGCCAAACAATAGGAAGTCATCTAGCAATGCTTTGGATTACCTGGTCACATAGACTTCTGTGGAAAAAATTTTAAATTTATTATTATCTCTGCAACACCTTGTTTCTTTAAAAAAATTTTAAGGTGAGTGTTTGTACTTATATGTTTGAAATGGAATTAATTGCATGTAATAGTTTTATTTTTCTCACTGTGAAAATAAGAATTCAAAATATAGTTATTGAAGTTACGTTTTATTTTTTTAAGCGTCATAGCATAATCAAGTACTGAGATAAGGGGGTGTTTATTCACTGGATCACGAAATGATGAAAAACCAGTGAAGGAACAAGTGTTCCTTTACTGGGTTTTTTCTAAGTTAATGAAAATGAAACAAAAACTTTAATTTTCTTGTACCTTTAGTGATGTTGGATCAAAAGTATGTTAAAAATACAAAAAGCAACTTCTAACCAGTGAAGGAACAGGCATGTTCCTTTACTGGGTATAGATTTCCCAGTGAATGAACAGTATGTGCTAATATGTTGACACTTTACTTTTCAATTCATGATTACAAAAAAAAGTTAAAATTTGCCAAGTATTTGTATGTAATAATTTGAAGAATAGTCTTGTTTTTAGATATTTGTATGGCATATAAATTCATAAAAAACATTTAAAAATAACCAAAATTAAGTGTGCCTTTATAGGGAAATTTTGTGTTCCTTCACTGGTAAGAGCTGTTCCTTCACTTGGTCTTCTTACTACTTGTTATTTGAACCTCCAAAACTTTAAAACAATATTATGTAAGTTCTCAATTTTTTTTTTACATAATTTGCAATTAGTAGCAAATATGTTGACACTGTCATTTAACTAAAGTTACGAATTTTGAAATTAATATGATCTTTTAAAAGGCAAGCGAAGCTTAAGTATTCCTTCACTGGTTAGTTTACCCTACCACTAATAAAAAATGAATGTACTTTTAGCTGTAAAAAAATTGCACAAAAGTTACAAATCACAACTGGCTGTTGACACCACTAATTATTAACTGTTAACTCTGTAAAAAAATAGCCAATAGAAAAATACGTAATCGTAAATTTTTATGGCTGGCTTTGTTTTTAAACAAAATTTTTTGAAATTTTCGTTTGTTGCAAGATCTTTCACATAAGAACGCTTACCCCCGCTAAACTATTCTCGTACCACTGGGGGTACCCATACCACTTTTTGGGAAACACTGCTGTAACTTATAGTTAGCATTAATTAAATTGAGGTCACCCTTAAGATTGGCACTTTGTTTCCGATAATTCGAACAAAAGTTATTTTAAGTCATATCTTTTTATTTTTTATTTTATTTTGTGCCCAGTACCCCTTTTTTATTATTTGAATTAGTTGTAAAACAAACTTCACGCAAAACCAAATGAAGAATTATTATTATAAATTTCTGTAAGAATATTAATCTTTTCAGTATATAATCACATTAACAGAAACTCACCATATTCATAAAGCAGAAACAATATCCATGATTCTTTCAAAATAGTTTTCATTGCGAAGCTGGAAAATAAGGGGGGGAAATTAGCATTGTTTACGAGGTTCTGACGCAATGTGAACTGAACAATTCAAACCGATCAGTTCATTTTAATTAATATTTGAAGATGGCTTATTAATATTAATTGTCTGAGCTCTTTGTAAGAGTTTGGAGTTGATTATAAATAAATAATAACTACATAGATGATTATGACTAATAGGACTGGGCGATAAATCGATGCATCGCAAAATATCGATTCTATGCAACCATCGCCGATCCGATGTTTGGATAGGCAATTTTACGAACCATCGGAAATTGTGATTTACTGAGATGTGTACGATATTTCCCGATGTATTATTGACATCGATGTCTACACGCTCAATGTTGAGTATTGTTCCCGATAGTACATCAATGTCTGCAAGCTCCATCGAGCAGCATTTTGCTGTGTAAGTGTGCAGTGATAGCCGTATCGAAGTTTTAATATCATTTGGAACTGATAATAACTGCAGTGTATCTACCACTACAAAAATACAATTCCAATTCACTAGTATATAAGACATGTTAACTCGATTCTATGTTGGGATACCTTTTCATAGATGAAGGTTGACATAGTCGATATCTGCTCTCCCCACAATAGAAATATAAGAAGAGACTCAACAGAACACGTCGCATTTTCCATTGTTCGAATTGAAGAAAACATACATTATAATTATTTGAATTACTTAAAAGAAGTTGAAAGTATTCAAAAAACGAAAACTAGAAAATGGTAGTTAACGTAAAAAGGATTTGGATTATCGCATCAAAATGCAGAAATATAGAACTTTTTTGAAGACAACAACGATGTATGCAGACCAATAGTATTGATTGAAAAGCAAGTGAAGGAACCGTATAATGCGAACTCCAATTGAAATAGTAATCTGTTTAAATGAAATTGGAGAGCTATCTCTGAATGATTTCAAAACTATAAAAAGTTAATTTGGTTCATTCAGATGCTTAAAAAAAAGTTAATACTTAGACGTTCAGTCCCTATTTGACTTTTATTGATTATACCTATTGATTAGGGGAGAGTGGTGTCAATTGTAACATTTTTTGCTTAACTATTTTTAACTAACAAAAAATCCAATATATTATTAGTATTAATTGACAGACGAGTAAAGTAGACTATCCTCTACTAGAAAAAAAATTAAATACCTGATTTTAAATATTATTATATTAGTTATTAACAATTTTTGACAGTCGTGCACTTGTTACAATTGTCCCCACTTACGGGGTCAATTGTAACAGTTCATAAATTCAACTAAAACATAGTTAATTATACATATTATCATAGTTGTGA